GTGCTACCTTACTGTGTGTGCACAATTAATGTGTGTGCTACCTCAGTGTGTGTGCGTCTAGGTGTCTGTGTGTGTGTGTGTGTGTGTGTGTGTGAGTGTGTGTGTGTGTGAGTGTGTGTGCGTGTGTGTGTGTGTGCGCGTGTGTGTGCGCGTGAGCCGTGCATGCGCGTGTGCTACCTCAGTGTTTTGTGTGTGTGTAGGTCTAGGTGTGTGTGTGCGTGCGTGCGTGCGTGCGATTGGAAGGTGGAGAGTAGCGGAAGGCTGTTTGATGTGTCAACAGTCACAGTTCAGTAATGGCTAGTCTGACACAGAAGATGATGTAACAGAGCTGGAGTAATTCATGAGAGTAGAATACAGATAGTCAATACAGTACAAATCAGTGGAGGCTGGTGGGAGGAGCTATAGGAGGACGGGCTCATTGTAATGGCTGGAATGCAATTTATGGAACGGTTTCAAACATATGGAAACCACATGTTTGACTCCATTCCATTGATTCCATTCCAGCCATTTCAATGAGCCCATCCTCCTACAGCTCCTCCCACAAGCCTCCACTGTTTTGTTTATGGCTATTGTGAGAATTGTTTTATTTTTTATTTGGTAATGTCTGGTTGATCAGTACATATTAGGCAGGTAGCTTTTTTAGAGTGTCCACAGGAACGTTCTGTGACAAGTATTAAACTTGCTCTATTCCTCTATATTCACAATTAACAAGATTGTTTAGTATTGGATATAGGCTAAATAAGACAACCATAGAATGTGATAGAAATACATTGAAAGCAAAGAAGTGTCATGAACACATTTTCAAAGAGTCTCTACAATACAATTATATTTACATTGCCCTTGAGACTCCTAAACAATTTCCTGAAAACATATTTCTGTTACCAATACCACTCCCACTCTCTTACAGAATGTAAAAAGGTTGACACATTTCTCAAATAATATGTGTATGCAGCATTTCTAGAAAGCACATAATAAAAACGGAGAAAATGTATGTATACATTTATGTGTCATGCTCTTCATTGAGCATTACGTTCAACCATCCCTTAGGAAAGTTATCTGAAATCAAATGATCGTTTTCCTCTTAGCATGTTTCCCCTAAACCAACTTCAAACGGTTGTAGACAGACCTCCATACTGCTGCTTTCCCATGTGACAAGTGGCAGGGAATGGCGAAATGGAAAACATGTGGAACAAATTGGACCTTTATCATTCCATCCTATCAAACAAAATGGAAGATTTAGGTATTTAAGGCGGTGCTTTTTTAGTCAGCCCTAAAACACATAACCTCATTCACCACAACGATGTCCCCTTCATGGGGATGTGAAGGAGGTTGTTTGGCCCATTGAGAATCTCCTCAGCATAGTCTCTTCATACAGCATGTCAACAACATCTCTGTCTGTGATACACAATACATGGGGTGGGGAGGATGCACTCACACACGCTGAAGAAGATGAGTCAGTAGAAGCAGAGATACTGTATATAAAGACGAGATGTTTTTGTCTCCTCCCACCCTTAGCGGATGCATCCGGTTTTAATAATAATAATAATATAATAATATGCCATTTAGCAGACGCTTTTATCCAAAGCGACTTACAGTCATGCGTGCATACATTTTTTGTGTATGGGTTGTCCCGGGGATCGAACCCACTACCTTGGCGTTACAAGCGCCGTGCTCTACCAGCTGAGCGGTTTTCAGGGATACAGCCCACTGGGCACAGACGTCAATTCAAAGTCTATTTTACATTGGTTCAACTTAATGTTGATTCAACCAGTGTGTGCCCAGTGGGAGATATCTTCAACCTAGCTTCCTTTTCCGCTGAAAATCGGATGTGGGAAATCCTCTCAAGCGTTTATTTTATGCCTGCTACGTTAGGTTAGTCTCCGCCCTAACAATGGGAGTTGTTATCCCAAAGGCGGGAAGGCAGGCGGTCTGCTTATCGGTATGCTTATCGGTCTGCTTATCGTGGACATATTTTGACGGTAGTAAACCCTTTCGCTTCGCCTCTTTCTCTTTGGCAGAAGCCCTTCTGTCAACCTGGCAACTAGTGATGGGACTGAATTAAAGGGATCAAAGTTTAGAACGAACAGATGGAGCTCATGTGATCAAATCTTTGATTAGGCCTGGGCACCCTAGTGCCAACCTTCAGGGCAAGTTGGCAGTGGCAGGCATTTCATAGAAAGGTCTTTCATAATCAAGGATACTCATCAAATAAAACGTATTTAAACCCCTCAAAAACTCCTAACAATGTTCATCACCTTTTAAAGTGTGTTGAGTATTGGTGCCCCCGAGCTGAACATGCTGGGAAGTACGTGGACAGATGTGGACCTCCCAGGTTCTTCATGGCCTGCCGGTGTGTGAAATGCTCGATTGCTCCACTCAGCGCTGTTATTGCTAACATGGGAGAGGCCTGTTTACCCCTTCCTCAGAGATACATCCAGTCAATGCACATGAGTCAAGCCCCAATTGAGTCCGTAAACTAAACAAGACTTGACTAAATCGCATTTGTTTTCTCCTCTCTAGGATGCTCACTAATAAAAGTAGGTGATAATCAACAATATAAATCTACTAATCAGTAAAAAAAAATACTTTAAGGAAAATGCAATATTTAAGATAAATTCATGATAAATAAGAATTCTCTTGGTGTGCGTATGTACAGACCGGATTTGTTTATCAATGACATTGTTCTTTCTGCTGTCAGAGCTAATAAGCTTTAATACTGCAGAAACAGTGCATTCGGAAAGTTTTCAGACCCCTTGACTTTTTTCACATTTTGTTACATTACAGCCTTATTTTAAAATGGATTAAAAAAATGTTTTTTAAATACCCCATAATGACAAAGCAAAAATAGATTTTTTGAAATTGATATTTAATAACAAAACGGAAATATACATTTACATAAGTATTCAGACCCTTTACTCAGGACTTTGTTGAAGCACCTTTGGCAGTGATTACAGCCTCAAGTCTTCTTGGGTGTGACGCTACAAGCTTGGCACACTTGTATTTGGGGAGTTTCTCCCATTCTTCTCTGCAGATCCTCTCAAGCTCTGTCAGGTTGGATAGGGAGCGTTGCTGCACAGCTATTTTCAGGTCTCTCCAGAGATGTTCGATAGGGGTCAAATCCGGGCTCTGGCTGGGCCACTCAAGAACATTCAGAGACTTGTCTCAAAGTCACTCCTGCGTTGTCTTGGCTGTGTGCTTAGGGTCATTGTACTGTTGGAAGGTGTATGTTCGCTCCAGTCTGAGGTCCTGAGCACTCTCCTTCATCAAGGATCTCTCTGTACTTTGCTCCGTTCATCTTTCCCTCGATCCTGATTAGTCTCCCAATCCCTGCCCCTGAAAAATCCCCACAGCATGATGCTGCCACCACCATGCTTCATCATAGGGATGGTGCCAGGTTTCCTCCAGACGTGACGCTTGGCATTCAGGCCAAAGAGTTCAACCTTGGTTTCATCAGACCAGAGAATCTTGTTTTTCATGGTCTGAGTGTCTTTAGGTGCCTTTTGGCAAACTCCAAGTCGGCAGTTGTGCCTTTTAGTGAGTCTGGCCACTCTACCATAAAGGCCTGATTGGTGGAGTGCTGCAGAGATGGTTGTCCTTCTGGAAGGTTCTCCCGTCGCCACAGAGGAACTCTGGAGTTCTGTCAGAGTGACCATCGGGTTCTTGGTCACCTCCTTGACCAAGGCCCTTCTATCTCAATTGCTCAGTTTGGCCGGGTGGCCAGCTCTAGGAAGAGTCTTGGGAACCTTCAATGCTGCAGAAATGTTTGATACCCTTCCCCAGATCTGTGCCTCGACACAATCCTGTCTCGGAGCTCTATGGACAATTATTTTAACCTCATGGCTTGGCTTTTGCTCTGACATGCACTGTCAACTGTGGGAGCTTATATAGACAGGTGTGTGCCTTTCCAAATTATGTTCAATCATTTGAATTTACCACAGGTGGACTCCAATCAAGTTGTAGAAACATCTCAAGGATGATCAATGGAAACAGGATGCACCTGAGTTCAAGTTTGAGTCTCATAGCAAAAGGTCTGAATACTTATGTAAATATAGTATTTCTGTTTTTTATGTTTAATACATTTACAAACATTTCAAAAAAACTGTTTTCATTTTGTTATTATAGGGTATTGTGTGTAGATCGATAATTCAAGGGGCACTGTATTTTGAGAATTCTGCAGCACAAGTGTCTTGCCGTCGCCTTGCGTCAGGAAGGCCTCCCAAATTAGCCTTGTGTTGTCTGGATTCCCTGATCGAATGAAAACATCTCTCAGATGATGTTTCAGGGAGTTTAACCAGAGGGAGATTTATTAAAGTGGTACCTCAGCAATAAGATAACTGATCTCTGTTGGTATACTCGCAAATAAGTTTTCATGAGTAGATTGATAAAAAAGAAAACAGATTTTGATACAGTGATATAGTTTGAGTTTGAATAAGAGGCATAATATGTCAAACGAGATAAACGGTAGTAAGGACAGTATATGCCTTACAGCAAGAGCTTGATAGGAGACAAATAAGTAAATAAACAAGGTTACTGTGTAAGAGAGGAGATACAACAGGTGGTATTCATTTTCACAGGGTTCTCAGTGCTCCAGCCTTGGTTGCAGCATGGTGAACAGGGGGGAAACAGTGTGTTTCAGTTCATTGATAACAAGCTGAGCAGTGGAGGCTGCTGAGGGGAGGATGGCTCATAATAATGGAATGTTAATGGAATGGTAACAAACACATGGTTTTCATGTTTTTGACAAGTTTGATACCATTCCATTAACTCCATTCCAGCCATAATACTCTGTTCCAGCCATTATTATGAGCTGTCCTCCCCTCAGCAGCCTCCACTGAAGCTAAGAGAGTGATGGTCTCTGGCCCGGGTTACCTGCAGTCCCCTGGCCATGTTCATATCTCCCGTCTGTTTCTCAGCTTACAGCTGAATCCATTTGGCCCTTAACTCCTTGGCCCTGTGGCAGTGATTAGAGCAGTGACAACCACTGTCCTGCCACCACACCTAGAGCCTCTCCACTGAGGCCTGACCCCTCGAGTCCGGGGGGCCCAGTTCACACCAAGGCCCGTGCCAAAGGGCTGGGCACGACCGAGGGGGCGCGCCCACAGTCCCAGCTTCACCCTAACAAGCAGATGGGCATTTTGGTTGCTCTGTTCAGAAGACACTCAGTCCTTTGGATTAGAGAGGGTCCTGGCCATCACAGCCCGATGATGTTCACAGATGGCGTCCGGTTGTTGTTGTTATTGTTCTTGGGGAACTGTGGAGGAGAAGAAGGGGAACAGCAGTGATGAGAAAGATGAAGGCCACTCTCTAAACCTGGAATAAAGTATCATTCTGCTATGAGCACGGAGCACCTCGACAGAATGGGAGGATGCCTTGGTCTTATTTGATCATTTTAGTGTTGCTTTTCTAAGTGTCAGAATTGGTCTAGTTGGCTTGATCGGAGATGGGGGCATCAGCCAGTTGTTGAGAGAGATGGAGAGGAGCGAATGGACATGGGACAATCATGCCAGCAGCGTATGGGCTGTCTGTGCATTGATTTAAAGGATTTGGATTTATAGCACTGTTGTGGCTTATGTCCTTAGAGAGATGCATGTTTACATTTTAACTGTGTTTTTTAAGATGAAGTGCTGCCGAAAATGCAAGTAAATCAATGCATATTCTGTTTTAGGGTGGGCGTAGCTCTGATGGTACTATGTGTGTTACTTTGTTAGGTGCGGGTGGAAGTGGAAGGTTTTAAGTCGCTGGGACGATTCACCTGTCCGGTGCCGGTGGGGACCCAGTGTGGAGGCGGGGGGGGGTGTGGTTATACCTTACTGCGCAACAGCCCCCCCGTCGGGTGCTCCGGAGTACTGCATTCTGATGAGGTCTTGGCTTTGTCCTTGTTGTTGTTGGGCTCGTTGTCTTTGATGATGTCATACTGACGGCAGAAGAGAGCGATCACACCTGACAGAGAGAGGAGAAGAGGGCACACAGACAGATCGTAAATAACAACCACATTACAGAAGTGAAGAGCAGACGGAAATAATTTTACAACGACAAATTACTACACATTGTGGACCATATTTGTTTAAAATATACCCTTCCTTTGTTCTACACTCATGAGGGTGTATGTGTGGTGGTCTGTGGTGTGTGTGTGTGTGGTAGGGTTGCAAAATTCCGGTAAGTCCCCAACCAGAAATCCTGGTTGGAAGATTCCCGGAATCAGGAGGAAATAAGTAGGAAATCCAGAATCCTCCAAACATTTCTGGAAAACCTGAGAATTTGGGGAAACTTACTGGAATTTTGTATCCCTAGTGTGTAGGTAGCACTCTGACCTTTGGAACATTCCACCCCTCACCTGCCCACATGATCAGCACCACCACGATAATGATGAACTCCCCCGCCCTCAGCTGAGCTCCCACTTCCTCCATGGTCACCTCGTCTGGAGGGTCAAGATACAGCAGCACAATCAGTTGATCGCCATGGCAACACCATCATCAGAGTTATTATTGGTAACTGGCAGCTTATTAAATATTCTGGTGGTGCTCACAACAGGCCAGTCTAATGATGGGGGAGTGTTGGGGTAAAAGCCGTCATCTGTTAAATGAATAGGAAGGGCAGAACCTCAGTGAGCTCCGCATACACTCTCCTCTCTACTGTAACTATACATACACCGTAGTGGATCTGCTCCTTGTCAGCTGGATAGAACCGTTTGCTGCTGACAGTGTATTGTGTAGACTGATCTCTCAATTACTCTCCAGTCCCAGGATGGCACCACTCATCACTGTCTCTCTGTCAGTTAGCACAGCTTCAAACAGGCCACGCTTTTCATGATTCCAGGTGATTCTGGCACAACCCTAAAAACTTGTGCACAGCCTCCACAATTATATTGAACAAAAGTATAAACGCAACATGCAATTTCATTGATTTTACTGAGATACAGTTCATATGAGGAAATCAGTCAATTGAAATAAATTCATTAGGCCCTAATCTATGGATTTCACATGACTGGGAATAAAGATGTGCATCTGTTGGTCACAGATTTTAAAAAAGGGCCACAAAATGGGCCTCAGGATCTCGTCACAACATTTTTGTGCATTCAAATTGCCATCGATAAAATGCAATTGGGTTTGATGTCCGTAGTTTATGCCTGCCTGCCTGCCCATACCATAACCCCACCGCCACCATGTGGCAAACTGTTCACAACATTTAGATCAGCAAACTGCTCGCCCACATGACGCCATACACGTGGCAAAATTCTCTGGCAACAGCTCTGGTGGACATTCCTGCAGTCAGCATGCCAATTTCACACTCACTCAAAACTTGAGACATCTGTGACATTGTGTTGAGTGACAAAACTGCACATTTTAGAGTGGCTTTTTTATTGTCCCCAGCACGAGGTGCACCTGTGTAATGATCATGCTGTTTATTCAGCTTCTTGATATGCCACACCTGCCAGGTGGATGGATTATCTTGGCAAAGGAGAAATGCTCACTAAAAGAGATTTAAACACATTTGTGCACAACATTTGAGAGAAATAAGCTTTTTGTGCTAATGGAACATTTCTGGGATCTTTTATTTCAGCTCATGAAACATGGGACCAACACTTGACATGTTGTATTTATATTTTTGTTCAGTGTAGCTCCCCAATGAAGAGCGCTGCTATGTGGGAACCTCACAGCACACGCCCCAATTAGCCCACTCTGTCTGAGAGAGGCTGATAGTGTCAAATGATTCAGTAGAAGCTGAGCATGAAGAGAATACATAAGGCTGAGGCAGGGCCAGTGGGGATCCCCACTCTGAAGGGGTTGGAGAGAGACAGTTAATCACAGCAGCCAGGATTGATTGAGCTGGGCCTAGATATAACTCAATAATCCTTATTATTACTACTAATAAAGCACTAAAAATGATAAATCCTGGCTGCTGTGTGTGTGTGTGTGTGTGTGTGTGTGGGTGTGTGTGTGTGTCTGTGTGTGTGTGTGTGTGTGCATGCGTGCATGCGTGCATGTGTTTTGTGTGTTCATGGTCCACTCATACAAAGCAACTGAAAGCAACATCACATCTTAGACTGTTTGTGAAGATCGCTGGCTAAAGTTCACCACACAACAGCATACTGAGTGCCCCCCATTTAAAGACCAAACAGAAGGAGGCAGTGACCCTGACATTCTGAGGGCCCTGGGTAGCTCCACCAAACTCCTGCAGGTTCTCCCAATGAGCGATTCAGCCAATCGATAGGCCTATGTACCCTGGCATTAACCAATCAAAGCTGGACAGCCAGAGGCTCCTGACACCACCGCCAGATGGCCTCCATGTGGCTAATATTGGTCAGCTCTAATGTCCCAGGCACACAGTCTCCAGTCCCAGAGACAGGTTGAGTCCCCTGCAGCCATGAAGAGGTGGGGCTTTACTGTATGTAGAGGAGGGAGTTTGCAGGTGGGTGCATTCAGGGACATGGTCAACTGTATGCTATATAGCTGCAGGATTATGCGAGTAAAGAAATAGTATTGGAGTGTTATACATCTGTTTTACTGCAGCACTGTTTTGCAGACATCCCACTGGTCACACTAGAAAACCTCCCTCATCAGAGTCTTATGCACAGACCACATGTCTGTTCTATATCTATGGTCTTGGGAGACAAACACATACAGTGCCTTCAGAAAGTATTCATACCCCTTGACTTACTCCACATTTTGTTGTTTTACAGCCTGAATTCAAAATGGATAAAATGTCCTTTGATCATCCTTGAGATGTCACTACAACTTCATTGAAGTCCACCTGTGGCCAATTCAAATGTTTGTACATGATTTAGAAAGAAACACACCTGTCTATATAAGGTCCCAAAGTTGACAATGCATGTCAGAGCAGAAACTATACCATGAAGTCCAAGTAACTGTCCGTAGATCTCAGAGATAGAATTGTGATGAGGCATATATCTGGGAAAGGGTATACAACTTTTTCTAGAGTGTTGAAAGTATCCAATAGCGCAGTGGTCTCCATCAATGGGAAATTGAAAAAATAGGGAACTACCCAGACACTGCCTAGAGCTGGCTGTCCAACCAAACTGAGCAACAGGCCAAGAATGACCTTGGTCAGGGAGGTGACCAAGAACCCAATGACCACTCTGACAGAATTACAGAGTTCCTTGGCTGAGATGGGAGAACCTGCCAGAATGACAACAGTTTCTACAGCACTTCACCAATCTGGGATTTATGGGAGAGTGGCCAGATGGAAGCCACTTCTGAGAAAAAGGCACATGACAACACGCCTGGAGTTTGCAAAAGCGCACATGAAAGACTCTGAGAGCATAAGGAAAAAGATTATGCGGTGTGATGAGACAAAAATGTAACTCTTTGCCCTGAATGCAAAGCGCTATGTCTGGAGAAAACCAGGCACAGCTCATCACCCGTCTAACACCATCCTTACCATGAAGCATGGTGGTGGCACCATCATGCTATGGGGATGCTTTTCAGCGGCAGGGACTGGGAGACCGCGCATGTCAAAGCAGTTTGTCAGTTATACAAGGGAGAATAATTGTGTTTTGCTTTGAACTCTGACAGGATCTCTCATTTTGCCTGATCACAGCTTTCCTAATTCTCACTAATCTATGAAAGAATCTATAGAGAGATAGAATATAGAGGAAGAGAGAGGGAGAAGAAGAGGAGAGAGAGAGAGAGAGAGAGAGCAGAGAGAGCGGAAAAAAGAGGAGAGATCGCGAGCTCTCCTCTCGATCTCGATCTCTCTACTCTACTCAATCTCTAGTCTAGCCTCTCTCCTTCTCATCTCTCTCTCCTAGACTCTCTCTCTCTCTCTCTCTCTAACTCTAAGCCGATCTCTAGACGAGATCTTACTCATCTCTCTCTCTCTCTCTCTCTCTCTCTCTTCTCTCTCTCTCTCTCTCTCTCTCTCTCTCTCTCTCTCTCTCTCTCTCTCTCTCTCTCTGTCTTCCCCTTGCTCTGCCTTTGATCTCACACAGTATATGTGTCCATTGTGAATAGCAAAAAATGGGAAAATTCTGCTTTTTGGGTCTGTTTCTCTCTTTCTTTTATCTCCTCAGATCGCTATGTCTAAGGGGGTTTTCACACTTGGTCCCTTTCAGACAAGTTTTGTGAACTCAGTGTGGGTTGCTTAATTTTTTGTGCCATGTGAACACTCCAACAGAACTCAGACCCCTAAAAAGAGCCACCGAAGCGAATCAAACCGAGATCATCTCGAAAGGTGGTCTGAGTTCGGTTCGCTTGAATTCCGCGGTCCGGTTCCATTTTTTAGGGCAATGTGAACACAAAGCTCCCCAGGTCCACTTGTCATTATTCCCGCACCACACACTAGACTACTGCAACACCGTTCCCCCTGGCATAAACCCTCACATTGGTGCCACAAAAGAGAGAAGATGATGTGCAGGTCAGTGGAATTTTTTGTTGTTGCTGTTTTTTGATATTTATTAGTGATTGTCAAGGACACACAGAAATGCCAAAATGTGTGAAGTTTTTAGTTCAGATTATTTGTTTGCAATATGTGATCTATAGGCTAAGAGAGCTTCATAAGCTGTTTATTAATTGTGGGGTTTGAACAGTGTGAGAAGACAACATAGTTTGTGAGAATCACAACATAGGGTACAAAATCTATTCTATCTCTTAAAGGGACAGTAGCCTACATTGGGTGTACAATTTTCAATTACAGCATTAAATATTCTGCAGTTATTCTATTGGTATTTATTCAGTTACCAATCAAATGTATATGTTAATAGAATCTTCTGATTACAATTATTATGTCTCATATTTTAACTAAATGCAATCTATTAGCTTCCAAAATGTAAGTAGGTATATCTAGCTGTCCAATAACACATTCTGATTGAATGGCTTGTCCTGCACTTTGCAAAAACCCAGAGTGCATGTTGGAAAAATATCTTATAATATATATAATAATATGCCATTTAGCAGACGCTTTTATCCAAAGCGACTTACAGTCATGTGTGCATTCATTTTTACGTATGGGTGGTCCTGGGAATCGAACCCACTACCCTGGCGTTACAAGCGCCATGCTCTACCAATTGAGCTACAGAGGACCAGATCTTGGTTCTGTTCTAAACATAGCAATGTGAATGCAAAGAGGACTCGGTCCACAAAATAGTTGAAGTGAACTGGCAAAATAGTTGGGTCCTCATTCAAAGGCAAGGGCAGTGTGAACACAAACAGAACTGAGTTCTTTAGCTTCTTTATTTTACCCCAGAGTTCACTTTAAAGAGGACTGAGATCGGTTATGGCAGAGGAGAGACCTACAGTAGAGAGGGGGCCGGAGGACGGTTCATTTCATACTCCCCCATAGTTCCCCTGGTAGGATAGTCTGTTAGCCTCACTAACAGGTCCATACTCCCCCATAGTTCCCCTGGTAGGTTAGTCTGTTAGCCTCACTAACAGGTCCATACTCCCCCATAGTTCCCCTGGTAGGATAGGCTGTTAGCCTCACTAACAGGTCCATACTCCCCCATAGTTCCCCTGGTAGGATAGTCTGTTAGCCTCACTAACAGGTCCATACTCCCCCATAGTTCCCCTGGTAGGATAGTCTGTTAGCCTCACTAACAGGTCCATACTCCCCCATATTTCCCCTGGTAGGATAGTCTGTTAGCCTCACTAACAGGTCCATACTCCCCCATAGTTCCCCTGGTAGGATAGTCTGTTAGCCTCACTAACAGGTCCATACTCCCCCATAGTTCCCCTGGTAGGATAGTCTGTTAGCCTCACTAACAGGTCCATACTCCCCCATAGTTCCCCTGGTAGGAAGTCTGTTAGCCTCAATAACAGGTCCATACTCCCCCATAGTTCCCTGGTAGGATAGTCTGTTAGCCTCATAACAGGTCCATACTCCCCCATAGTTCCCTGTAGGATAGTCTGTTAGCCTCACTAACAGGTCCATACTCCCCCATAGTTCCCCTGGTAGGATAGTCTAGTCACTAACAGGCCACTCCCCATAGTTGGGGAGCTGAGCCGTCAGGTCCATACTCCCCCATAGTTCCCCTGGTAGGATAGTCTGTTAGCCTCACTAACAGGTCCATACTCCCCATAGTTCCCCTGGTAGGTAGTCTGTTAGCCTCACTAACAGGTCCATACTCCCCATAGTTCCCCTGGTAGGACAGTCTGTTAGCCTCACTAACAGGTCCATACTCCCCCATAGTTCCCTGGTAGGATAGTCTGTTAGCCTCACTAACAGGTCCATACTCCCCCATAGTTCCCCTGGTAGGACAGTCTGTTAGCCTCACTAACAGGTCCATACTCCCCCATAGTTCCCCTGGTAGGATAGTCTGTTAGCCTCACTAACAGGTCCATACTCCCCCATAGTTCCCCTGGTAGGATAGTCTGTTAGCCTCACTAACAGGTCCATACTCCCCCATAGTTCCCCTGGTAGGACAGTCTGTTAGCCTCACTAACAGGTCCATACTCCCCCATAGTTCCCTGGTAGGAAGTCTGTTAGCCTCACTAACAGGTCCATACTCCCCCATAGTTCCCCTGGTAGGATAGTCTGTTAGCCTCACTAACAGGTCCATACTTCCCCATAGTTCCCCTTTAGGATAGTCTGTTAGCCTCACTAACAGGTCCATACTCCCCCATAGTTCCCCTGGTAGGATATCTGTTAGCCTCACTAACAGGTCCATACTCCCCCATAGTTCCCCTGGTAGGATAGTCTGTTAGCCCACTAACAGGTCCATACTCCCCCATAGTTCCCCTGGTAGGATATTCTGTTAGCCTCACTAACAGGTCCATACTCCCCCATAGTTCCCCTGGTAGGATAGTCTGTTAGCCTCACTAACAGGTCCATACTCCCCCATAGTTACCCTGGTAGGATAGTCTGTTAGCCTCACTAACAGGTCCATACTCCCCCATAGTTCCCCTGGTAGGACAGTCTGTTAGCCTCACTAACAGGTCCATACTCCCCCATAGTTCCCCTGGTAGGATAGTCTGTTAGCCCCACTAACAGGTCCATACTCCCCCATAGTTCCCCTGGTAGGATAGTCTGTTAGCCTCACTAACAGGTCCATACTCCCCCATGGTTCCCCTGGTAGGATAGTCTGTTAGCCTCACTAACAGGTCCATACTCCCCCATAGTTACCCTGGTAGGATAGTCTGTTAGCCTCACTAACAGGTCCATACTCCCCCATAGTTCCCCTGGTAGGATAGTCTGTTAGCCTCACTAACAGGTCCATACTCCCCCATAGTTCCCCTGGTAGGATAGTCTGTTAGCCTCACTAACAGGTCCATACCACCCAAGGTCTTACTGGACCACAGCTCATGTAAGAATATTATTGTGAGAGAATGTTAAAGTAAACTGAAAGTCACCTTTTAAATCGGTGTTGTATATGCAGTAGCGGTGAGGGGATAAAATCACTGGGGAAGCCAGAAAAAAAAAGCCATATTACAACTGTTGTGGAAATTCTAATAAATAATGAGGAGAGACACAGTCAATCACCAATCAGGATATTACTTTATTCAAAACGTATTAATAAGGTAGTAAGTGAGGCTGGTCATACAGACAATACAAATATATTTTATAGCAAAGATACACCCTCTCAGTCTACATGACAAACAGCAGATGTGTGGAATGAGTCAAAAGGTTAGGATTTGTATGAAATAAATGAATAATTCACAGCTGACAGTATCTGCGGTGAAGACTGTTCTCATTGAATAGAAACAAGGGTTTGGCCCCCAAGACAAGGTTCTGTCACGGGCAAGTCATTACAGTTCTTATCAACTATTCAAAAACAGATCTCGTCCCTGGTAACTTACACACACAGACAACAATTCAGTCTATGAAAATGCAGGCTCAGTCAGACCAGAGACATCTCCCTTTCACACACCACTAATCATAGAATGGAATGTGGCTGTTTGTTTTATCACCTAGCCATTCATAAATCAATTGTCAGCTCCAGATACCCCTATCTCGAGTAAAACCCATGTCCTTGACCACACGCCTAGACTAGCTACAAGGAGCTGGAGTAGAAATCATCCCTTTACAAAAACAGAGCTTCATAATATAGAACAGTATATAATTGTTAACTATTCATATTAAACAAAGCATGTTAATTTTTCTCTCACACAACACATGTGTTGTGATAACTGCGTTGTTTACTCTATTTTTATTTATTTAACTAGGCAAGTCAGTTAAGAACAAATTCTTATTTACAATGACGGCCTACCCCGGCCAAACCAGGACGACGCTGGGCCAATTTTGCGCCGCCCTATGGGACTCCCAATCACGGCCGGATTATGATACAGCCTGGAATCGAACCAGGGTCTGTAGTGACACATCTAGCACTGAGATGCAATCTACACACAATACCCCATAATGACAAAGCGAAAACAGGTATTTAGAAATGTTTGCAAATGTATAATAACAAAAGTAATAAAATCCTTATTTACATAAGTATTCAGACCCTTTGCTATGAGATTCCTTGAGATGTTTCTACAACTTGATTGGAGTCACCCTGTGGTAAATTCTATTGATTGGACATGATTTGGAAAGGCACACACCTGTCTATATAAGGTCCCACAGTTGACAGTGCATGTCAGAGCAACAACCAAGCCATGATATCAAAGGAATTGTCCTTAGAGCTCCGAGACAGGATCTGGGGAAGGGTACCAAAAAATGGCATTCTTAAATGGAAGAATTTGGAACCACCAAGACTCTTCCTAGAGCTGGCCACCCGGCCATACTGAGCTATCGGGGGAGAAGGGCCTTAGTCAGGGAGGTGACCAAGAACCCGATGGTCACTCTGAAAGAGCTCTAGAGTTCCTCTGTGGAGAACCTTCCAGAAGGACAACCATCTCTGCAGCACTCCACCAATTAGGCCTTTATGGTAGAGTGGCCAGACGGAAGCCACTCCTCACTAAAAGGCACATGGCAGCCCACTTGGAGTTTGCCAAAAGGCACTCAGACCATGAGAAACACGATTCTCTGGTCTGATGAAACCAAGATTGAACTCTTTGGCCTGAATGCCAAGCGTCACATCTGGAGGAAACCTGGCACCATCCCTACAGTGAAGCATTGTGGTGGCAGCATCATGCTGTGGGGATGTTTTTCAGCGGCAGGGACTGGGAGACTAGTCAGAATCTATGAAAAGATTAACGGATCAAAGTACAGAGAGATCCTTGATGAAAACCTGCTCCAGAGTGCTCAGGACCTCAGACTGGGGCAAAGGGTCACCTTCCAACAGGACAAAGACCCTAAACACACAGCCAAGACAATGCAGGAGTGGCTTCGAGACAAGTCTCTGATGTCCTTGAGTGGTCCAGCCAGAGCCCGGACTTGAACCCGATCGAACATCTCTGGAGAGACTTGAAAATAGCTGTGCTGCGACGCTCCCCATCCAACCTGACAGAGCTTGAGAGGATCTGCAGAGAAGAATGGGAGAAACTCCCCAAATACAGGTGTGCCAAGCTTGTAGCGTCGTACCCAAGAAGACTTGATGCTGTAATCGCTGCCAAAGGTGCTTCAACAAAGTACTGAGTAAAGGGTCTGAATACTTATGTAAATTTGATATTTTATTATTTTATTGTAAATAAATTAGCAAACATTTCTAAAAACCTATTTTTGCTTTGTCATTATGGGGTATTTTGTGTAGATTGATGAGGGAAAAAACAATGTAATCAATTTTAGAATAAGGCTGTAACGTAACAAATGTGTAAGAAGTCTAGGGTCTATGACTCTGTCATATAGTACACACTACTTGAACGAACGCACACCAGGGGCACAATGTATGAATTCATGGTTGGATCAGAATCGCAGTTATAATTATTGGCCAGTATGGAGAATTAAGTAAAACCACAAGTCCAAATCCCTATCTCCATCCATGGCTAATTTAGGAAAGGGCCAATTTTAGCTAGCTAGTGGGGTGTCTAAGGAATTTATGACTTTGCTAACGTTTGCAAATGGTATCTTGGAGGATGTTGATTCAGCTTAGGGAAGCATCTGGGGAGCAGTTTTATAGGGGAACCCCATAAAACAGAGGAAGTCTGTTGTGTGGAGTCATGGGATTGGTCTCTAGGGAAAACCACCCATATCATGTTAAAGATTATAAATACTTGGTTGAGACAAAGGAGGACAGAACAACATATTATTTTGGGTCATTGTTCTCCAGATGCCTGCAGATGTCTGTAAACTTACGCTGAAATCTTGTGATATAAATAAACCTTTATAATCAAAGTACAGTGTAAGCGGACTCCTTGGTCTCACAGCATAATTAGCATTATTATTTAGATACAACACTAGCCACCGGACAACAACACAACAAGATGCAACAATTAAAGTTTTTCTGTCAATGGCGTATTGCTCTCGATGTGATGTGAGTGGAGAGAAGCCAAATCCAAACTGGCATCCCTTGACACTTTCTTTTGGTGTGCCAAATGCTCACTGGCTTCCTTCCCTTGCGTTCAATGCTACGGGCAGCAACAATGTCATACTCTTTTTGACCAGACAGAATCAGATAGATGGCCTACACATACAGAGACAGAGGGGCGCTGTTTTGCTCGCTCGGATGCTATCTCTGGTGAGATACATTCAGCCTCTTGCGAACTGAAGGAAAATTATGAAACACAGAGAGACGAAAGATACATTCTTTTATGCTTTTTTCTTTTTTTTCTTGGCCAATTTTTTGGTGAAGCCTGGCTGATCCCAAGTTATCCATGAATACAGGTCACTGTATGGGATGCAATGTGTGGGGGAACTTGATTGGTATGTGTGATGGTGTATTTCTTGGGGAAATGGATGGAAGTGTGTGGTGTTCATGGCAGTGTTTATTGCAGTGTGTGTTTAATGGTGCAGTCAGTGTATACCGGTATGTAGAAAAAGGTGTGTATGTGTTTGTTTTTGTGTGGGATGGTAATGTGTGATTGTTTGTATATGCATCTATGTGTGTTTGTGTGATATGGTGCAGTGTTTGGGGAAATGGATGTCTGAGCTGAACCAGAAGGGTGTTGAGTCCCAGAGTAGTGCCCTTGAGTGGGATGTTGTGCCCTTGAGTGGGATGTTGTGCCCTTGAGTGGGATGCCTATTCTAAATGGCCTCATTGGATTTCACAACACATAAATATACACTACATGACCAAAAGTATGTGGACACCTGCTCGAACATCTCATTCCAAATTCATGGCCATTAATATGGAGTTGGTCCCCCCTTTGCTGCTATAACAGCCTCTACTCTTCTGGGAATGTCACGCCCTGACTCAGGGGACGT